AATGAAGCAGCACCAGTCTGAAAAGTTTTTGCTTTGCTAGTAGTAGTAGTAGTAGTAGTAGTAGTAGTAGTAGTAGTAGTAGTAGTAGTACATTGTTATATTGTTATTACAAGACATGTTTATCTTTTATGTATTACAGTGATTATTGTCATGAATGTAATAAACAAAATGAATCACAAAGGCTTGAGTTTTACATTTAAAGAACATTTATTTTCATGAATCCTCAGTCCTGAGTTTCCTGCAAAGGTCTGACCACGGGTCAAGTTCACAAAAGACTCGGCTCAAGACTGAAGATGCTTTCTCGCCTTTTGGTATCACAGTGTCCAGCACGTATCGGGCTTTGTCTTGTTTGCTCTTCTTTTTTTCCGTGCAGTTTACTTCCTCTGGGGTCAGGACCTTCTCCTGCTCAAGTTTATCCAGGAGCTGGTTCAGCACCTCTTCAGACACTCTCTGCACAAACTCAGAACGCATCGACTGGAGCTGCTGCACAGCACTGACTCGGGGACTGACCCGGGGCCTTTGGTCTTCACCCACAGTGACCTCTGAAGCACAGAAACAGACCTGATCAGAGCAGAGAAACAACAAACACACAACAGAGAAACAAACACACAACAGAGAAACAAACACACAACAGAGAAACAAACACACAACAGAGAAACAAACACAGCAGGACAATAACATGTGACTGACCAGTCATATTCAGCTCGTGTCTCCAGACCTCTGTGTTTTTTTCTGTGTTCTCTGTGTCCTCTGTGTTCTCTGTTCTGTTGTTGTCCTCTGTCAGTGAGATGGACAGTAGACCACAGTTCGGCGGCAGGCGCAGCTCACAGGATGGGTAATAGTTGGGTTCATGGTCCAAATCGTTAATAGTATTTCTAAAACGGGGGTCTTTTTAAAATCGTTACCTAAAGATGCCTGTACCTCACAGCCTTAGGTTGCATGCTCCAGTTCAGTCACTCCTTGGGCCTGTGTACAGCTGCGTCTCATTTTCGTGCATGCACTACTGACTGCATACAGCAGGGGGAAAGTTTTGTTTTTTTTTACAAAGTGTCTATGGTAGTAAGTAGTAGTAGTAGTAGTAGTAGTAGTAGTAGTAGTAGTAGTAGTAGTAGTAGTAGTAGTACATTGTTGAAAAAACACAATTTTGGGTCTGTTTGACCCACTAGGAGAGCGGGAGGGTTAAGAAAGTTCATGGTAACGGAGGGAAAAGTGACGGAGGGAAAACTGTGTAAACAAGTAGAAGGTGCAGGATTTTCAGTGTGGGGAAGTTTACTTTTAAAATGTACAGATTACAGATTACACACACCAACATGTAGTTTGTAACAGAATCCATTAAATTACTTAAAGTGAGTAATGTAATCTGATTACTTTGGATTACTTGATTTTCTGTAGAGAAACAAAGACGAGGAAATCTTCACATAAGAAGTTTTATCTGCTAAAAGAAAATAAAAAGCCCAGACTTTACTGAACCAAATTAAAAAATATTATTGATAGAAGAAGAGACACGTCCACACAGCAGGATTTAGTCCTGTTCAATCCTGTTTTAGTCCTGGTTTAGTCCTGGTTTAGTTTCCGGCAATGACTGGAATAAAAAAAAAACAAAACAAACAGGAAAATCCCGCCATATAATCCATTTATTTCAACAAAGTAACTGTAATCCAATTACCACTCACTGAAACAGTAACTGTAACTGAATACAGTTACTCATCATTTGTACTCTGATTACTCCGGTACATGTAATCTGTTACTCCCCAACACTGTCTATACATTTTCATTTTTACTATAACTTTTAAGAGCTTTATGTTGATTAGTTTTTTAGTTTTTATGTTTCTGTTTAAATTGTCGTATATATGGGGGGGGGGGTTAATTCATGTATTGAAATTTTTCTGTTGCATGTGAAGTTCTTTCTGTTGCATTTCAAATGTATGAAAAAGTGTCATACAAATAAAGTTTGATTGATTGATGGAGCTTAGAGGGAGACGTCAAACTCAGCTCAATAAAATGAAAAAGTATGAATATAGTAAAGTACAAAACAGGTTTTTGATGAGGGAAAATGATTCAACTTTACATAATATAAAAAAATAAATAAAACACATGAACTCTTTTTATATTTTTTATTGATTTATTTATTTGTTCTAGTGCTGAGGGGGTTTGGACGACACAGTTCTGCTCAGAGTTCAAGTTCTAAAGCTGAAAAAACACGACACAAACAAATGAATTGTATTGTTTTGTTACAATTCACCTGAGTCCACAGTGTTTTCCCTCTGGCTTTTCACAACCGACTCAACTGTGTCATATACAAGAGACTGCCCCCTACTGGAGACGAGGATCACTCCAGGACGCTTCTGTGTGCGCCGCCTCCATTTGTGTCTCTGCACTTCCTTCTTCCTGTCATGAATAGTGCTTCTGCTTGAGCTTTGTGACTAACGCGCGCAGCCTGTGCACTTCTGCCTTCAGCTCTGAGCTCCTGAACGTCTCTAATTTCAGACGAGCGTCCATCACCAACTCGTCCACCGCAGCGTTTGTCACTTTCTTCTTGAATGTTTCTATCTGTGAGGAGAGTTCTTCCTTCTCTTTCTCCAACACCTGCAGTTTTAAACTGTAGAGGCTCTTCACCTCTTGCTCTGATAGAACCCGGTGACTGGGGGCTGTGAGTGAAGCTGGAGTCTGCTCCTGCTCCTCGCTGCTCAGTTAAAAGTAAACCATCTTTGGAAAACGTAAAATGAGCCCTGCTCTTAGCCGCCTCCTGAGCCTCTTTTTCTCGTGCACTGCGCTCCTGCTCCAGGGATTCACTTATCACTTTGATTTCACTGAGAGCTTCTTCCAGTTGCTTTTTAAGGGCCTTGTTTTTTTGTAAAAGGCGTCTCTCTTTGAGGCTGCTGTTTGCCTGTGAGCGCTGAAGATTTTCTCTCAGTGAGATGAGGTGTTCTTCCTGAAGAGCTCGTGCACTGTGCTCCTGCTCCAGAAGCCTCAGAGTCTCACGGTGGGCCTCCTCTTGCTGTTTCATCATGTCCATCATGGTTTTCATCTCGAGCTCCAGCTTTTGTTGTCTCACTTCCATCTTCAGTTTTTCTTGTCTCTCGTGTTCAAGCTGCTCCTCCTTCCTCTGAAGCTTTTCTTTAAACTCGTCGCACATCATTGTATCATTCTGACGACTCTCCTCATTTTGTAACTCCAGATGATTCTGCTCCAGAGTCGACTTGGTCTCTGTAATTTCCTGAAGATCATTTTTCAAATCTACTTTCTCCAGGTCTTCTGTGTCCGAGTCAGCGGAACCAGTCGACCCAGACGATGGGACATTGATGGAGGTGGAGACCTCAGGGAGAGACTCTCCAGGACCTGGTTCAAACTCAAACTCCAGAGAAGCTCGTCCTGGTTCAGATGGAGATGTTTGCTGGGGGCTGTACCTCTTAGGACTGTTTGTGAAGTCAAAGTCACAAGACGACCCCTCATCACTGATACCTTCTGATCCCAGTCTCAAAGCCTCTTCCTCAGGCTCGTCCTCTTCCTCAGGCTCGTCCTCTTCCTCAGGCTCGTCCTCTTCATCCTCCTCTTCAATCGTGCTCATCAGTGTGAAGGTTTCTCTAAATGGAGTATATGGTTTATATTTCCGGACTCTGGCATTTGCTCCGTTCTTTCGAAGAAACTTCACCATGTCAGTGTGGTCCAGGCGGAGCGCCACACTCAGAGGGGTAAGACCACGGCCATTAAGGACATTTATCTGAGCCCCGCGCTCCAGGAGCAGTTGAGCTATGGACACACACGAGGTGCCCGCTGCCATGTGCAGCGCTGTGTCTCCCTCACTGTCCCGCAGGGTGAGATCTGCACAGTTCTGCAGGAGCATGTGGACACAGGTCCAATGTCCTCCCTGCACCGCCTTCATTAAGGCCGATTGATTTTTATCATCGCGAAGGTTCAGATCTGCATTTACTCCTAAAAGTAACTGTACCACGTCGTCGTATCCAAGAGCACACGCGATATGCAGAGCACTTCTCTGTTTCTTATCCTGCTTACTGATGCGTCGCCTCTTTTTGGTAAGAAGTTTTTCTATTCTGACCAAATCCCTCTGTGCTGCCGCCTTGTGGATCTTCCCCAGGTCTCTGTCCCTGAGCTCGTAGCCCCCAGAGACGCTGCTGCTGCTGCTGGTTTC